AACTCGAAGCCGATGGACTTCACGATCCACTGGGTGTCGATGTTCTTGAAGTCGGGAACACCGATGAGGGTCTGCAGAGAGATACCGTCGTACAGACGCTCGAGACGGGCGGCGTCCCAGTTCTTGCTGTCGGGGTGGTTCTTGACGAAGTTCATAGCAGCGGCACCGCTCTCGACCTCAAAGCGGTACTTGTGGGTGTTGTATGGGGTGTTGTCACGCTCTGAAGAAGTAAGTTAGTAATTGGCTAAAATAGTACCTTTCATAGACAACACTTACGGTCCCAACCAAGATCGTGCAGGAGAGAGCCAACGGCGTGGAGCTCGAGGTCGATCTCGGACTTCAGGGTGGCGTTGTTGTTGAAGGCAGCAGCACCCAGGAGCCATGTTCGGACGACGTGGTTGTACAGGTAGGGCTGAAGCTCCTGGAACTCCTTGACGAGGTTGTGCGCGTCTTGGACGATCTGGGTGTTGACAACCTCGACACCAGCAATCAGGGTGGTGGGAAGGTTGGTAGAGCGGCACTTCTTGTGGCTCTTGGGAGCGGCAGCAGCGCTGCTGGCCAAAGCCAGGGTGGAAACGAGACTAGCGGAGAACTTCATCTTGAGGAATTAGGATTGCTGCGAGAAGCGAATAATGATTGAATGAATGAATGAATGTGGTGAGAGGGGTGGAGAGAAAAAGAAGAATTACAATATCCACGAGGCGTTAGAAAGCTTTATATGTTGAATTCGCCTCGCAGCTCAGCACTGCCATTTCACAATGCATGGCTTCCATGTACAAATCCCAGGTCTTGGGTAATCCTGCATAACGTTCTCGAAAAGGGTGTCATACCAGGGTTGGATGGGTACATGTCACCCAAAATAGCACGTTAGTTCTTCTGGTGGATGAGGCTGACTGTCTACTGATACTCCTGCAGACTGTGGAGGTACCAAATAAAATCTTAGTGTACCTTGGCCAATGCAGCTGGATCACGATAGGCTAGACTGTTCAATTCCCATGCAGCATGTAACGAATCCTTTGGCGGGAGTGGCGCAATCATGGGTTGGAGCTGAGACAATTGTATACTACGATGTACAGTAGAGAAATGAGACCAAGGAAGCCAAGTGCTTGCTAAGTCTTCCATCGGTTACCGTGATGTAAGTCGGATGTTCGAATCTTATTTAAGCACTACTTTCAGTATTGAATGAAGACATAATTACACCTTCGCTATATACGTTATCATTGAGGAGGAGGAGGAGGATAGTCACGATATATTGATGAAGTTACAGTTTGATCTCGAATACTTACAGTACAGTACAGGGTTGTACGTACACGTGTAGTACAGTAGATAGTCTTCGACCGCGACTAGGGTACTTACCGGGGTTCCCTGACCCGAAGCCATGCTTACCAGGTTACTGCCGGTGGCTGACCTAAGACGACAGTATGTCCGTCCCCAGAATAGGATTAGTAAATCTGCTTAAGTGGTAGAATAATACCGTACACTAAAGGAACAGTGTATTGGCGTTGTTTCAGTAGCTTTTAAAATATATACAATTAGGTCGGTAAAGGTGCGTTGAACTTAGGGTTTGTCAATAACTGGAAGTATTGTATAAGTAGTAATCGAGGCTTATAAAGACGATCTACTTGTAAATAATGAACAGCTGAGTAACAACATGGGGAGGTTCTTTATTTTATTCGTGTTACAACATTACCAAGACCAATCAAGACTATTTATTGGAGTTGCCAACCCTAATACTTACCGCATTGACCAAGATATTGTACAGTAGGTAGACCTCGGCGTAGACTACAGATGGTGTACTTAAGTACACCGGCATAGGTCGGTGTGATGCTCAAAGGTTCCCGACGCCCCTTTATTAGTTCTGTAGTGGTTCCATGTGCATAAGCATAATTTAAAAATGATCACCTCCCACATCCAGGCCAGCCAGGTAGGGGTGTAGTGGGGATGCCAGCATTTAACGTGGAGGTGCCGCTACTTACCCTTTCTAGTACATAGTACCTTGACAGGTACAATAAGTAGTTTGCTTGCATGTAGTGACTTTGGTGTACAGTTCTTTGCATGACGTTTTGGTCCTTGAACATACTAGAAGGATTGAATTGCTTGTTAATGAAAATCACGGAGTCGCTTGTTGCTTGCGTGAGAGAGATTGTATTCTCAGAACTCCTCATCCAGGGTGGTGAGCGACCCTCGCCTCCCACTTTATCCTGATCGTGAGAATGTTGCCCGTCATCGTCATTGTAGCAGTCAATTGGTTGGCCTATCATATGCGTTCGCGTAAACTTGTCATTGGAATACCGATCATCACCTAATGTATCCATGTTGGTCAAAGAGTTGCCACTTAGTCGCACGGATAGATCCATGGGTGGCGAATGGCACAACCGATGCGGTAGAGCTATTGTGCTTAATCATGGCAGTGAGGTGTTCGTCCGTGCGGTCAGCCGGATTTTTCGCTCGAATCTTTGGTGGTGTTCGGGTCGTCTAAAAGGGGAATGGTTCCCTTTCCATTTTTAGTCATCCTCGTTCGATTTGACATTTGAGTGGACTCGTCTAGTGTAAAGCTAGTGTAGTGGTGGCGCCCAGACTGTTCGACATATCCGACGTTGAATGCGTCAATGTCGTCGTCGTGAAGCAACTCGTACTTTGGCCGTCTCCTCTCATCAAACTGAGAAGCCAATGGTGAACTGGTCGGTGTTACTAGGCGTGCTGGGCAATCCTTCGAGCACCGTTCGGAAACCACGAAAATGCGTTCGAGACTTTGCGCCAAGAGCCAAGCGAATGACACAGTCAGCGACTCATCATCCAGCTTTGTCGTTGCTAAAGACATAGCCATATAAGGTGTCTTGGCTCTAGTGTAAGCGATTTAGTCTTTGCTCGACGCTTGGCGCTAAAGTGCTTAGGTTCATCTTGATGTTTCGCATGACATCGAGTGACCCGGTCCAAGAAATTCCGCCAATCGGGTAAGTCCGTTGTATCTTTGTATCTTCGACTATTGCCCTCGACTCTTACTAAAGTGACGAAGTAAGACAAGCGCGTCCTGATACCTGACAGGTTTGCGAGACGCCGTTGTATTGTCATCCCCAGGTTACCGCATTGGTCTTATTCTCTTCTATAACCTGCCATTCTTTGTGAATGATGTTATAAAGTGATGGCGATGTAACTGCTAGTTATTACTGACGCAATTACCTCTTCTTTGCCTATCTCCTTCGTATTGGCGGTATTGGTAGTTATGCGCGGAGTAGCTAGCTACGCGTTCTCTTCGGCTCATACTCGTATTTGTCGTTCGTCCAAACTTCGTTGTGCTATATTCTAGTTAATGGTCGACCGCTATTTTTGGCGACGTCGTCGTTTGCAAAGCGCTCCCTTGATTTTCCGGTGCTTCATTGAGGTCTGAGTTGTTGATACTCTCTTCCTAATAATAATAACTTGATTTCAGGGACTTGGTCCAGCACCTGAAAGGAACTATAGGTAAGTAGTAATACCACAGCATGCCTTTGTTAGCAAGCATCCACATACTTCATCTTTGTTGGGCGCTGTTGGTTGTTGAAGAGGTATTCGGTATCGTCTGCACTAATATCAATAGTCCTCATAGCTAGCACGGAAAACCCTTGAGATATCATATTGGACCTACGTTTAGGACATTGTACGTACTGTCCTGATTGGAGTCATATCTCGTTTCCGAGAGATGAGGTGCCGGCATCAAGTTTGGATGAGCCCTGGCCTCGGACGAGTGTTATCGCGGACATTTATTGCGACCATTGATTGTATAAGTTGACCGCTCAAGCTACTGGAACGCGTGCTTCGATGTCTAAGCCGAAGAGATGCGATATCCGACAGTCATTTGCGTCGAGTACCGTTAGTATGTCGTATGCTATGTCACAATGTGACGGTGGAACGCCACCCTATCGTCCTCGCTCTTCAATTATCCATGCTTCCAATATCGCGTCGCCACTACCACTTCGTAAAGTAACTGTTAAGTCTGTTCAGGACGAATGTTGATCCTTAATGGCTCTCGTGTATCATTTCCTAGGCAGTCTTGATCCCTTTTCGAAACGTTGGTGTGCGATGTGGGCGATTTCCTGGTAGTTGTCCTGCTATGCCTCTATGACATCTTGTCTCTTCTCCTCGTCGTCTCATAAACTGTAAAGATGGGGTGAAGCTTTAGTTGCTACAATCTTGTATCAGCGGGTAGCACGATCGTACGTATGCGATAGTATAATAAACACAGGATAAAGTCACCTCCACGATGGAGCAGCAACAGTAAGTAGTATTATAAAGGCTTGGACGATTGTATTGAGTATTGAAGGCAAATCAAAGATCAGTGTCATGAGTCCTGCTGCGTTGCTGTCTTGATATCTTATAAGAGAGGACAGAGTCTCTTACTGTTTTATGGCATAGGTGCGTAGGATTACACGTCCTTATTTTTAGGACAATTGAAATACTTTTGCGGCACAGACATCAGCCCTATACAGATTGGCCATCCGGGTAACCATCCAGGTGGTCTAGAGCTGTTCTTGGATTGCTTCCTATTTGATTTCACGGGGAGCGGCCAGCCAATAGAGTCAGTCAAATCGAATCTGCATCGAAGCGAACCAAACAGAGCTGATATTATCCCTGCTTATTTACTTAACGTACAGCTAGGACAAACTCAAGCTAAGCGTGTTAAATGCAAGTTGTCATCTATGTATTACTGTGATTCCATCAATGACTTACTTTTATCCGTAAGGTTGAGTTATGACTTTGACACTGCCTGGCACCAATTCACCGGGTCAGTCTAAATTGATGGTATGGGAGCCACTGGGCAGCTGCCCCAGGCTGTACCTCAGAATATAAAGAGCTGTTGTGTTATGTATGTACTTACTGTATGTCTACCTGCGAGTTTTGTGATGCAATGGCAACTTTCTCTGTTTAGATTGAACATTTAATATGTATTCATTTCAAGACAAAGCCTCTCAAAATGATATACACTCAGTGAAGGGTAAAAAGGCGATTCTCACAAACCGCATTGGACGAACGGGGAATTGAACCCCGGACCCCTCCCAGACGCGATATTCCAATCATTTTTAGATGATGCGAAGGGAGTATCATACCCCTAGACCATTCGCCCAAATTGCTTCCTAGAAGACGGAATGCACAATGTGTTGGTATAGAATCTATTGTGTTTCGACAACTGCCCACCCAACAAATATGCCTCTGTGTGTGTCATGTGACTAACTGACTCTGTTTCATGATAGCGTACTGTATAATTAGATATACAAACACTGTATTCATCAACTACCGTAGTTAGACTACTTACCTAAGGACCCGGCTTAGAGAACCAACCTCCATTACTGGACACCCAGTCGAAGTGTTTACGATGCAAATCTCCATTTATTGGTCTTCAGACTTGATACTACATCTCCCAAATTAACGTCCGACCGATGGCTGTGCATGAATTGTTAGAACCTGGTGATTTAGTCACTCTCCTGCACAATTGATGCGAGCGAGGCTGTTACCGCCACTGCCGCCTCGATGGCCCCTGATAGCGGCCTGCGGTTAACGGGCGTTTGGTGAGTTGAGCTTAACCCCCAACCTTTACAATATGATGACCGGACAGCCATCAACAACACAAACAACAATTTGCTGACAAGAGCGAAGGTTCCTCACTTCCTTTATTTGGCTATCGTATTCGTTGCAAAGGCATACCTTAATCAGTACCTTTCCAACTTCCACAGTCCACAGGAGCCTAGCTGACTAAGGTACTTAGGTCAACCACGCCTCTCATCCTTCTTGTTGCTATTCATTTCTGGCTTGTCGGCTTTTGCCGTGAGTCTGTTTTCAAGATGGCTGCCGGGTGCTGATGGAAGATTTGGTCCGTTTATTGGTTCTTGTTCATAAGAAGGCGATTGTTAATGTTATCGATAGATTCCGATGCTGTCTTGAAGGCATCATCGTCCTCCTTGCCTCCAAGGCCACGTCGATTCTATGTGCCCTGTATTATTTTCCTCATCATTCTTAGACTGGAGCTTTCTTATGGAAGTTTGCGTGATTTCCAATGCTCTGTTGTGGGTGTCGAAGTGAGTATCTCATTATGAGGTCAGCATGTCTTATAACTAACATAGTCTAACAGTCATTTCTGCCATTGTTATTAGCGGCTTACAAGTTCTTCTCACATCGCCCACCACCACCGGTAGAGTCAGACGAACCCGAAGACATGTGGGGAAGCGTGGTAGAGGACCTCAAGGATTGGGTCAAAGGCTCGCCCATTATGCTGCTTGTTGGAGCAATTCTCCTCAGCTACGGAACGTTTATGGCCAGCAGCTTTACATCGCGATCTACATACTTCTGTTCTTCTTCGGTTGATCGAGTGTCGCTCGTGGTATTCACTCAATGGGCCGGTCTTTTCGCGGATGCGGTCATTATCATTCTTTCCTGGAGAGTCCTTTCTTGGGCGCGAACAACTAGAAGTCGGCTGCGCACCCTTGGTGGCATTTTGGTAGTCACTTCATTTGCAACATTTATCCCGTTAATAGCGACACAGCTTTCACGTCATGGCAAAATCGTTGGACACCAACCTCTTAGAGGAGTTAATTCTCTCTATATTTTCGATACATTGAGCACCGGCATTGTTGTAGCTACTCTTGTCATATCTGCATCCTTGATGTTATGTGATGCGTCGCCTCTTGAACCCACCACGATTGCTACCTTTGTATATGGCCTATTGGCTAGTGTTGGCAACACGTTCCTGGTCGGCACGTACCAGCAACCATCCGCAGCGCAGCCGCTACTCGCGTTGGGGACGATTTCATTCGGTTTTACAATTTTCGCATACACCAATAATATGCGCTCCGTCATTTTCATGAGACGCGTGGTCTTCTTATTATTGCTCCTTAGCATAATAATTGCTTCGAGCCTCTACGTCGTCCTAACCCCCAAGTTGCTTACTCGTCATCCCGTGGATGATCTTGTGTATAAGAGCCGGGTAGAAGCGGATCGCTGGTTACGGCACGCAACAGTCAGCACAACCCTCAATCTCGCAGTCAAAGAATACGGAGAGAGACACCGCGGACGTAAACCTCCGCGAAACTTTGACAAATGGTTCGAGTTTGCTCGGCAGACAAAGTCAGTCGTTATCGACAGGTTTGATCAGATAGAGAAAGACATTTTACCGTTCTGGGGCCTCCGACCGCAAGATGTTCGAGATGGTCTTGAGTTCCTTAAGAGCCAGCCTAACATTGGTATCATCAGCATTGCTGATGGCAAAGCTACTCACAAAGGCGCAGCTGATCCTTCACAACAAGAAATACTAGATGAGATCGTGACGCTGATCTCTGCCTTTGTGGAGCATCTTCCAGTGATGGAGCTTGCCATAAATCTGCAAGAACGGCCGAGGGTTCTCGTTCCTTGGAATGAGATAAACAAATTACGAATGAAAGCTAATCAACCGAGCTTCCAGCTCATCTCCGGCCGGCTGGGTAAACGCGATGATTCAAATACTTCAATACAGACGGATATCGGAATGAACAAGCGAACAATACCAGCGGCGGGACCAGCGGATTCAAACCCGCCGTATATCCCGGCGCATCAGTTCCGGCGGCTCGAGGCTCTCGCTTGCCCCCCGGGCTCGCCAAGTCGTAGTGGTGTTAATTGGGATGTGAGAGACTTCTGTGCCTCATGCACACTACCTCATAGTAAGGAGCAATTCCTCGGGCACTGGCAAATGTCCCTCGACCCGTGCCATCAGCCTGACATCTTCAACCTCCACGACTTTCATACCATTCCCCATCGATTTACACTATATCAGAATCTACTACCTCTCTTTAGTGGGTCGAAAACGACCAGTTTCAATGATGTCTTGATTCCCTTTTCGAAGGGTAGTTTGAGACAGGATCATGACGGGAAAACATTCAATCAAAAGCAGGACATAGTCCTCTGGCAGGGCAATGTCGAAGACTTACCAGTGGTGACATATGAGTCGCTTCATGGTAGTCATCGGTTACGTTTGGTCCACTTAATTCAGAATGCCACAGCTGGGGACAACATCCCCATGCTATTGGGGATAGGGGCAGGCATGAACAGCAGGTTTCGGTACGAAGACGTCCCTACTACTGAGGGTAATAGTATTTTACCGTTGCAGTTCTCACTGACTGGCCCGTCCGAGGGCTGCAAAGACTTGGTTTGTGAACTTATGCAGAAAGAGTTTGGATTGGGGCCGCCAGTTACCGAGGTAGACAGTCGTTACGTGATGTTACTAGACAGCAGCGACGGGCCACCGCCGGACCTGCTGCAGGTCTTGCGGTCAAACAGTGTGCCAGTCCTGTCAACCATATTCCAGCAATGGTTCACAGAACGGCTGATGCCTTGGGTGCACTTCATTCCTATCGATGCACGATATCACGCGTTGCATAGCACCATGTCGTACTTTATCGGCTTGGATGGCCGTGGTACACTCAATGGACGAAAGCAGATTACGCCGCCGCGAATAGAGGATGCGAAATGGATCGCTCAAGAAGGTCGCAAGTGGGCCGAGAAGACCATGAGGAAAGAAGACATGGAAGTATATCTATTCAGGCTGTTATTGGAATGGGGACGAGTTATCGACGATAATCGGGAGGATATGGGCTTTGTGTTAAAGGCATAGTAAAACTGGGAATGTTCAGGTATAGATACTTTTTGTAAGATTCCTGTACTATGTATGTAGGTCATTATTTTTTATTCTTAGAGGTCATATACGAAAAGAGTTTAATTGTAAAGCCATAGAGTGCAAGAAATTGAACATCTTGAATGGGCAGTGATCATAGCGGGGATGGACATTGATACGGGGGCCGAGGGTCCGCCTACCTATGTACAGTACTTAGAAGCACATCCCCATCATATGCATATAACGTCTACCTAAATGCATGTGGATCTTACGAGAGTCTGTACCTAAACGAGTGCGTGACGTATGCTGTTGTAAGCTGTCACATAGTACCGTACCTACTGTGCTCAGCTCGCAGCTCACATCTGAAGTGAGGCTGTGGCACTTCAGCAATTCCTCACCACGACGAATTCCCAACACGCCGACGAACTACCAAGCTTATTCCTTGACCAATGGATTAGCCTGCCACCTTTGCGGATGGTCCTCGGCGGAATCAAAGATACATTTACAGTCATCCTTTTACAAAGAAGCCACCAACGATACAATCTAACTCGATTATCCGAGTGTCCGACTGTCGCAGGCCTGAGACTTGTACGCACGCCGCCAAGCCTCGCACAATGGCCGTCATCGACCAGGACAATTTCTCCAATATCTCGTGGCAGATCGAGGCCGGCGATGGACCTGGGCCTGGGCCTGCCGACTCGAGTGCGTCGCTGCCGAACATCGAAGCCGAGCCACCCACCAGCGAGGACCAACACCATGGCCAGAACCTCCAGCTCCAGGATCCCGGCCTGTCCGGCGACATACTCGAGTGCGCCGTCTCGGAGCCGCATAAGGAAAGCGACGGCACCAAGGACGCCTTTGTGTCCTATTTGATCACTACCAGTGTGCGTATGGCGCTGCGGGAGCCGCGGATCATCTTACCTCACCTCACCTCGCCTCACCTCGTAACTCACCACTAACCTGCCATCGCTTCAGTCTACCTTTCCCTCCTTCCAGAAACCGACCTTCACCGCCCGCCGACGCTTCACCGACTTCCTATTTCTCTCCAAGACCCTATCCAAGGATTACCCGGCCTGTGCCGTCCCCCCGTTACCGGATAAACAGCGTATGGAATATGTGCGGGGGGATCGGTTCGGGTCCGACTTCACAAATCGCCGGGCATATTCGCTCCAGCGTTTTCTGACGCGCATAACTCTCCACCCGATACTGCGGCGCGCCCCCATCCTCCACACCTTCCTGGAGTCTCCCGATTGGAATGCCACGATGAGGGCTCGTGCCGGAAGGACAAGCATTACGTCCGATCAGGGGAGTAGTGGTGTATTTGACAATTTTGCTGACACCTTCATTAATGCATTCACAAAGGTCCATAAGCATGACAAGCGATTTACTGAGGTGCGGGAGAAGAGCGACAAGCTGGATGAGGATCTCGCCCATGTGGAGAAGGTTGTGGCCCGTGTCGTGCGGCGTGAAACCGATTTAGAAACCGA